ACATCTAGATGTGTATAAGAGACAGGGGGGGGGGGAGGAGAGGAGGGGGAATTGAAACTGACCAGAGCTTCTTTAGTTCTTGATTCTTGCAGATCCTCAAGGCGTGCCATAAGCTCAGGGCCGACATATGCGAGTATGAAGTCGGTAATAAGATGATAAACCTGCCAATAAAAAAAATAAAATAAAGGAATACCGTTATCCCTAGCAGTACACGAGTCAGGCCTCAGATGTTTTTTGTGTTTAAGGAATATTGTTATCCCTAGGCCTCAAATGTCTTTTCTTGTTTTTTTCACCCATACCTCTATGTCAATTTTGCACTTCGTTTTTCTAAGACCACCACTACCTTTGACAAGCAAAATCAAAACCTCCTAAGAATGCAACATAACATATACCGCACATTTGGTCTATGCTTGCCATTGATAAGCAACCGGACTATGGTAGTGGTGGTCTTAGAAAAACGAAGCATAGACCCATTTTCTCTTTGAATATCTACTTGGTCTATGCTTGCCATTGATAAGCAACCGGACTGATGCCCGCCAGAATAGATGGGGCATTGTTGGGATACAGACCTGAGTTAGAACCCCAACGGTAACAGATGAATAAAATAACCCTAAATTTATGTGAGAATGATCAGTTTGAAAATGATGTATCAAGGCCATCGCCCTTTGTTCTCTTCTTTTAAACACCACTACCTCTGTAGTGGCCCCACCGGGGGTCAGTACTGTGGCTTAGGCACGATGCTCCACCCTAGGGCATTCATATTGGCCGGGAAACCTCCACACGGTACCAGTCGTTCATTTGAAGGTCACAGGGGCGCAACACCAGCCACAGGGCTGGTCCTTCAGCCTCCAGGCCTGACGATTCGGGATCCCTTCAACCCTAAACCCTAAACCCTAAACCCTAAACTGCTCACCTTCCATTTAGTATATCCACAATGGCAACAGTTACCCGAAACCCCCCACCACTTGATTTCCCATCGCGCTTAGCCTAGTACGACCTGGTACCCCATCAAGCTTGACGATTACTCTTACTTCCAAGTAAGATCATCAGTTGAACTATTCATCACACCACTGATACCAGCTGCAGTTCATCTCCCAGCATTTTAAAGCATCCACACCTTTTTTGTATGTAAAGCCCAACTAGCCCCCTTGCCCCTAGACTACACTACCCCCAGCTACCCCTAAACTCCTCACCTAACTAAAGTACAAGGTGCCCTGGAATCTAATCCTCCACTTCGATGGCTAACTTCTTTAGGGTGGGTCTCAAAACTACCTTCTTTCCCCAAATACAACGTACGGTCATTAAAGCTGTATCTAGACTGCAAGTTGTGCCAAATGCAGCTATAATGACCGTACGTTGTATTCGGGGGAAGAAGGTAATGCCCCTGTTCCTGCATCTTTCCTGACCAACTGAGGGAGCTCCCCCTAGTTCGATGGTATCGTACTCCAGGGGGCGGCAGTGGAAGATTGTGGAGGGTACCGGATTGGGACATCAGTGCAACCACCCTCGTTCCAAGAACAGTGGCCTTGGAAATGGAGGCCTCAGAACAAATAAAGATTCGAGCTTACAGGCCCAACAGGGAGGGTGCCAGGGGGGGTGCATAATATTTTGATTGCCCCAATTTTGTTGATTTTTAATTGAAGTCAATTCCGAGTTCGGTCAATGCCGCTGTATCAGCAAACATATTAGAACTTATAAAACATACTTTTGCGACGGTTTCCCCACGGACATAAAGACGGTGCGAAAAGTGATTTGGTATGTAGATCAGAGTCCTTGTGTGGGCCCTATATTTCAAGCTGGGAAAGGCCAGGGTTGGTGAAAATTTGCGGTTGGCACTGCACTGACCTGCACAGGCTCAGTCTGAGAAACCTGTCTTTTTTTTTTTTTTTTTTTTTTTTTTT